GAGGTGAGTAAGAACTCACTATGAAGCTACTTTAGGAATGTAATTGTGTGAAGGTGACCTTTAGTAACAAACAATAAGAATTAAATATCCACAAAACCGTGTCTCCGTTTTCTTTCATGGAAATGAAGACAACACCATGGAAAACGTTTTATTCATCCTTCCAGACAAATACCAAGGCAAATATAGCAAAAATTCAGTTCGCCATCCACACCAGGTGGCGGCTAAGCAATGATGAAAACGTTTTATTCATCCTTCCAGACAACATCAAAACCAAGTGCAAACATAGCAATGAAAAAATTCAGTTCACCATCACACCAGGTGGAATTAAAGACAATACCACGGCTAAGCGCAGCAATGAAAACGTTTTATTCATCCTTCCAGACAACATCAAACCAAGTGCAAACATAGCAAAAATTCAGTTCGCCATCACACCAGGTGGAATTAAAAACAATACCACGGCTAAGCGCAGCAATGAAAACGTTTTATTCATCCTTCCAGACAACATCAAACCAAGTGCAAACATAGCAAAAATTCAGTTCGCCATCACACCAGGTGGAATTAAAAACAATACCACGGCTAAGCGCAGCAATGAAAACGTTTTATTCATCCTTCCAGACAACATCAAACCAAGTGCAAACATAGCAAAATTCAGTTCGCCATCACACCAGGTGGAATTGAAGACAAATATCCGGGCTAGTTCGTAGACATTGAAAGCATGTTCCCCTCACCTGGAAACAATACTATCAATGCCTCGGCCGGCCGACCGACTCAATTCATAGAACTTGATCCAAGTGTAGAAAATCACTTGAGCCAAGGAATATATTTCAGTTTCACATGCCCGACTTTACCTCGATGTTTTTTCCCTTTTAATTTACTGGTATTATTAGTTCTTTGTTGTTATTGTTATTTTACGTTTTAACCCTCTTTGTTTTAAGTTTATGTTATTGCGGTTTGGGTTAGTGATTCAACTTAAAGAGAAGGCCGTAGGCTTTTAGTTTTAATTTATGTTTTTTTCGGTTTTGGGAGGTTGGTGCATGGAGACTCTTGTGGTCTGTAGGGTGGTCTTATTACAGGATAGAGGGCCGTGTTGAAGGATGATGCATGGAGACTATTGTGGTCTGTAGGGTGGTCTTATTCCTAGATGGAGGGCCGTCTTGAAGGTTGGTGCATGGAGACTATTGTGGTCTGTAAGGTGGTCTTATTACAGGATAGAGGGCCGTGTTGAAGGTTGGTGCATGGAGACTATTGTGGTCTGTAGGGTGGACTTATTCCACGATAGAGAACCGTGTTGAAGGTTGGTGCATGGACACTATTGTGGTCTGTAAGGTGGTCTATTACAGGATAGAGGGCCGTGTTGAAGGTTGGTGCATGGAGACTATTGTTATCTGTAGGGTGGTCTTATTCCTAGATGGAGGGCCGTCTTGAAGGTTGGTGCATGGAGACTATTGTGGTCTGTAGGGTGGTCTTATTACAGGATGGAGGGCCGTCTTGAAGGTTGGTGCATGGAGACTATTGTGGTCTGTAGGGTGGTCTTATTACAGGATAGAGGGCCGTGTTGAAGGTTGGTGCATGGAGACTATTGTGGTCTGTAGGGTGGTCTTATTACAGGATAGATGGCCGTGTTGAAGGATGATGCATGGAGACTATTGTGGTCTGTAGGGTGGTCTTATTACAGGATAGAGGGCCGTGTTGAAGGTTGGTGCAAGGAGACTATTGTGGTCTGTAGGGTGGTCTTATTCCTAGATGGAGGGGCCGTCTTGAAGGTTGGTGCATGGAGACTATTGTTATCTGTAGGGTGGTCTTATTACAGGATAGAGGGCCGTGTTGAAGGTTGGTGCATGGAGACTATTGTGGTCTGTAGGGTGGACTTATTCCACGATAGAGAACCGTCTTGAAGGTTGGTGCAAAGGAGACTATTGTGGTCTGTAGGGTGGTCTTATTACAGGATAGAGGGCCGTGTTGAAGGTTGGTGCATGGAGACTATTGTGGTCTGTAGGGTGGTCTTATTCCTAGATGGAGGGCCGTCTTGAAGGTTGGTGCATGGAGACTATTGTTATCTGTAGGGTGGTCTTATTACAGGATAGAGGGCCGTGTTGAAGGTTGGTGCATGGAGACTATTGTGGTCTGTAGGGTGGACTTATTCCACGATAGAGAACCGTCTTGAAGGTTGGTGCAAGGAGACTATTGTGGTCTGTAGGGTGGTCTTATTACAGGATAGAGGGGCCGTGTTGAAGGTTGGTGCATGGAGACTATTGTTATCTGTAGGGTGGTCTTATTCCTAGATGGAGGGCCGTCTTGAAGGTTGGTGCATGGAGACTATTGTGGTCTGTAGGGTGGTCTTATTACAGGATAGAGGGCCGTCTTGAAGGTTGGTGCATGGAGACTATTGTGGTCTGTAGGGTGGTCTTATTACAGGATAGAGGGCCGTGTTGAAGATTGGTGCATGGAGACTATTGTGGTCTGTAGGGTGGTCTTATTACAGGATAGAGGGCCGTCTTGAAGGTTGGTGCATGGAGACTATTGTGGTCTGTAGGGTGGTCTTATTACAGGATAGAGGGCCGTCTTGAAGGTTGGTGCAAAGGAGACTATTGTGGTCTGTAGAGTTGTCTTATTACAGGATAGAGGGGCCGTCTTGAAGGTTGGGTGCATGGAGACTATTGTGGTCTGTAAGGTGGTCTTATTACAGGATAGAGGGCCGTGTTGAAGGTTGGTGCATGGAGACTATTGTGGTCTGTAGAGTGGTCTTATTACAGGATAGAGGGCCGTGTTGAAGGTTGGTGCAAGGAGACTATTGTGGTCTGTAGGGTGGTCTTATTACAGGATAGAGGGCCGTGTTGAAGGTTGGTGCATGGAGACTATTGTGGTCTGTAGAGTGGTCTTATTACAGGATAGAGGGCCGTCTTGAAGGTTGGTGCAAGGAGACTATTGCGGTCTGTGGGGTGGTCTCATTCCTAAATGGAGTGCCAGGAACAAACAGAAATGCACTCTTCTTCCCTGCACAGTTCTGTAACTGTTCAGGTGCACAGTAGTGCTAGATCAACTCTAATCAAGTCAGTTTACTTGGAGACACCGTCAACACGCTGTCTCTTTACTGATGAGGCTAGGTACAGGTTCTTAACTTGGATGCTCTTGCAAGTCATATAGAGGTTCACTTGTCATATAGAGGTTCACTTGTCATATAGAGGTTCACATGTCATATAGAGGTTTACTTGTCAGATAGAGGTTTAATTGTCAGATAGAGTTTTACTTGTCAGATAGAGGTTTACTTGTCATATAGAGGTTCACATTTATATAGAGGTTGACTTGTCAGATAGAGGTTCACTTGTCAGATAGAGTTTTACTTGTCAGATAGAGGTTTACATGTCATATAGAGGTTAACTTGTCATATAGAGGTTTACTTGTCAGATAGAGGTTAACTTGTCAGATAGAGGTTTACTTGTCAGATAGCAATCACATGTCAGATAGAGGTTGACTTGTCATATAGAGGTTTACTTGTCAGATAGAGGTTCACTTGTCATATAGAGGTTTACTTGTCAGATAGGGGTTCACTTGTCATATAGAGGTTCACTTGTGAGATAGGGATTCACTTGTCAGATAGGGGTTCACTTTTCAGATAGAGGTTCACATGTCATATAGAGGATCACTTGTCAGATAGGGGTTCACATGTCATATAGAGGTTCACTTGTCAGATATGGGTTCACTTGTCAGATAGGGGTTCTCTTGTCAGATAGGGGTTCACTTCAGATAGAGGTTCACTTGTCAGATAGGGGTTCACTTGTCAGATAGAGGTTCACTTGTCAGATAGAGGTTCACTTGTGAGATAGAGGTTCACATGTCATATAGAGGTTCACTTGTCAGATAGAGGTTCACTTGTCAGATAGGGTTCACTTGTCAGATAGGGGGTCATATAGAGGTTCACTCTTGTCAGATAAGGGTTCACTTGTCAGATAGAGGTTCCCATGTCAGATAGAGGTTCACTTGTCGTACATAGGTTCACGTGTCATGTAGAGGTTCACTTGTCAGATAGGGGTTCACTTGTCAGATAGCAATCACATGTCAGATAGAGGTTCACATGTCATATAGAGGTTCACTTGTCAGATAGAGGTTCACATGTCAGATAGGGGTTCACTTGTCAGATAGGGGTTCACTTGTCAGATAGGGTTCACTTGTCAGATAGAGGTTCACTTGTCAGATAGGGGTTCACTTGTCATATAGGGGTTCACTTGTCAGATAGAGGTTCACTTGTCAGATAGAGGTTCACTTGTCATATAGGGGTTCACTTGTCAGATAGAGGTTCACATGTCAGATAGAGGTTCACGTGTCATACAGAGGTTCACTTGTCAGATAGGGGTTCACTTGTCAGATAGAGGTCAGATAGCAATCACATGTCAGATAGAGGTTCACATGTCATATAGAGGTTCACTTGTCAGATAGGGGTTCACATGTCATATAGAGGTTCACTTGTCAGATAGGGGTACACTTGTCAGATAGGGGTTCTCTTGTCAGATAGGGGTTCACTTCAGATAGAGGTTCACTTGTCAGATAGGGGTTCATTTGTCAGATAGGGTTCACTTGTCAGATAGGGGTTCACTTGTCATATAGAGGTTCACATGTCAGATAGAGGTTCACTTGTCAGATAGGGGTTCACTTGTCAGATAGGGGTTCACATGTCATATAGGGGTTCACTTGTCAGAGGTTCACTTGTCAGATAGGGGTTCACTTGTCAGATAGAGGTTCACTTGTCATATAGAGGTTCACATGTCAGATAGAGGTTCACATGTCAGATAGAGGTTCACTTGTCATATAGAGGTTCACATGTCATATAGAGGTTCACTTGTCATATAGAGGTTCACATGTCAGATAGAGGTTCACGTGTCAGATAGAGGTTCACGTGTCATATAGAGGTCAGATAGCAATCACATGTCAGATAGAGGTTCAAATGTCAGATACGGGTTCACAGGTCGGATATGAGTTCACATGTTGGATATTATCAATTATCAATGTTAGATGGCAGTTCTTGCAGCTACTCCCAATTGCCTTACTGTTTCCTCTTGCTGATCTGGGATTGTGTAAAGCTTTTGTGTACATTGTTGCCAGGTATTGAGATTGTACGCAAGGCCCTGAGGATGCCATGTCTCACCATTGCATTAAATGCCGGCGTCGAGGCCCACGTCGTAGTGGAGAAGGTCCTCAATGAGAAGGGAGACTTCGGGTATGATGCACTCAATGGAGAGTTTGGGAATCTCATCGAGAAGGGAATTATTGACCCAACAAAGGTAATTGATATACTTTTATAATGTTTTGTTTCCTTCATGTATTTATTTTACCTAAAAATGCCAAAGTGTTATGATTTGTAAAAGTGTATGTATTTGCGATGTGTAAGAGGATCTGTGGAAGAGATACTCTGTCATGCTTGCTGAACGAGCCGACCAATATGGATGCTGATGTAATGTTAAACAGCTCTGAATGAAAGAAGATAAGTTTGAAATGATCCTAGTTTTTGGTGCATCTAATGCTAAAAGGTCACGTGTATTGCCTGCCCTCACCTTGAGTGAGTGCACATTATGATTGGTGAGTATCATGGTCAAGAGAACATGGGACGGACATACCCACTTAAATGCCAATTCATTTGTCCTTTGTGTGACGGCCCGTGAAGATCTGGCTAAGAATTGGTCTTCAGCTATTCATGCTTGCCAAGAGGACACTATCGAGATCGGGTGGTCAGACTCGCTGACTTGATTGACACTTGTCATCAAACTGAGTAGATTGATGCTCATGATTTTCATCACAGGATTATCTGGTCCAGACTCAATTGTTTACAGACCCCGCCGGTGGAATATTGCTGAGTGTGGTATGAAGCAAGAAACAAACAAGGCTCTGTGGACAGTCTGGATGATTACAGTTACACTGTTTTCTGTTACAGGTTGTGAGGACAGCAATTGTTGATGCAGCAGGAGTAGCCTCCCTTCTCACCACAGCAGAGGTGGTTGTCACGGAAATCCCCAAGGAGGAGCCAGCTGCACCAGCTGGAGGGGTGGGAGGCATGGGTGGGATGGGTGGTATGGGAGGGATGGGCTTCTAACGGAATTCCACAGAACCACCGTTGTGTGATAATGTGAGTCAGAATTGTTTTGCACAGTTTCTGAGAAGACTGATCATTGAACTCTGATGGACACTGGAGATGATGATACCGACTGAGTGATGTTGTGGAGACAGTGGACCAGCTTGTGAACTGAAGAAATAGGAGCTTGTTGTCCCCTAGCAACAGTTTGCATTACAGGCTGAAGATATTTTGAGACATTGATACAAGAGTGATCAGTTAAATTAGACCAAATTCAGCCTTTATAGTCAGATAATTACATTAGTACACTGACAGACTAAAGAATCAGCCTGTTTATGAGATTACTGTATCAGTTTGTCTCTCCTTATTTGTTCGTGTTTTTACGATGAAGGGCATTAGCATGTTACAAATGTTGTGATGTAAACTGATGCACTACATTGTCACTTGGAGTGTTGCAAGGGGACACAACTCCGTATCTACAGATGTCAAGTCTGTTGCTGAAAAGATGGTGGAGTCAATAGTACATCAAATCATAAATCAAACATTTTCTAATATGTATATAATGCATTCAAATTACATTGGTGTACAGCCAGTATTTCATGTGGTATCCAGTGCTTTTACATGCATTAGCAATGTGATCTGAATGCATTGACAAGTGGCAGGATTCAGGGATACAATTGGTCTGATTCACACAGGTGGACATAACGCTATCATCAGCATTCTCAATCGTCAACAGACCAGCTCTCAAGACCTCTAACTCTGATTTGATTACCGAGAGGACCAGTCCTGAAGTGGCGCCAGTAGCCGAGCGGGCAGGCAGGGTCATCTGTTGTAGATTGGTTTGATTCCCCACAAGGTTTCCATTAGCAGCTAGTCCTTGTGTGATATTGTGAGTGGCCAAGCAAGCAGAGTGAACTGTCCTATTCTGGGTCAGTTCCCTATAAGGTAACTATCATTAACACATTCTGCGTTTTGTAAACCAATTAGTCCTCAAGGGTTATAAGGGTGCCCTCATGTTGTTGTCTCTTTTCCCCCAGAGCAGATAAGTGTTAAATGATAATCGTAGCTGTATCGACCAATAGTGAAAGAGATAGCATGGTGCAGGATCCTGATGTACGTGCAGGATCCTGATGTACGTGCAAGATGTTCTCGAAGATAGTCCATCCCCTGGAACTGACTGTTTGCCTGAATCACGTGTGTTTGCATGTCTAGTTCTGGTTCTGTGTTAGTATAATCTGTGAAGTATGTCTGGGAGTATTCGGGGTAGCAAGTGTGATATACAAGATTTTTTTGTAATAAAATCAGATTATATTCAGTGAAACTGTGTTGTGTCTAATTAGTAAAAGAATATAACGAGTCGAACGTATAAGATCTTAAACGATGATATTTAGAACTTTGACACACAATTGTTTTATTTCAAAGGCAATTGTTTCAGCTGTATTTGTCCTGGAAATGAATCCAATGTTCTACCTGGTCACACTGTCCTCTGTTCCAAAGTATGAGGGTACATCCGACACCTGAGCCGAGGTGAAGGTGTTGTCTCAGTAAATGGTGGAAAGGTCTTATCAGGGTTGGGTAGAACTAGCCTTAACAGCAAGAAGAACGCCTGACTAAGGCTATTTGAGGTGAAGGTCTGACCACAGCATGAATTACCCACCTCAATTTGTGAAGAACCCAGCTATTACTTGGCTTGTGTTCATGACAGAGGGGCGATTGCAGTAGCCTAGTTGTTAGAGCGTTCGCTCGTTACGCTGAAGACCCGAGTTCGATTTCCCACATGGGTATTATGTGAGAAGCCAATTTCTGGTGTCCCCCCGCCGTGATATAGCTTGAATATTGCTAAATGCGTCGTAACACCAAACTCGCTCACTTACTCATGACGTAGAAGGAATATGATACACTGGGTAATCGAGGGTGCCAGCGTTCATACCTCCACAAGGGCCGGAAGGCTGAAGTCAGTTTATAAACACGAGTGAGTCGGTGACTTCCCAGACTGCCAGTTTAATCAGGAACACAAAGCACTGTAGACAAGGGGAATTGCTGACCCCAGGGCACTGCCGTAGGGAGGCTCAATCCCGCCCATACTTGACTTGAAACAGACTGCTTGTGGGCGTGTCGTAAATACAATGCAAACAAGTTTTGCTTAGGTTATCAAATGTCATGAAATCAATTGATTGTTTTAATGTGTCCTACTGAGGAGCTTGTCTTTAATGCAAACAATGCCGTTTGTCTGGACACCTGTTTAGCCTTTTGTTAATTGTGTTCATATTAGATTCCTGCACCATCCGGCTTAAGATAAGTATTATTCTTTTTACACTCTTCCCTTAAGATTTATATTAAACTTTATGATTGATATCACGATTTTGAAATTAGTTTCTCGACATTCTATATGTTACATGTTAACCAATCAACACTATGATTGTCCGTGTCAATACTTCGCCTTGTGATGGGTGCTAGCAGGTGCGTCCTGCTGGAAGCTTTCTGTGTTGGGAGCTTGCACAGAAGGATACAGATGAGCGCCAACTGAAGGAACGCCACAACACAAACGCCCACACTGAAACACAGAGGCGTATGTTTGAAGTATTTCATACCCACATTTACAGGAAACTGCATATAGACTATGTTTTGACTTCCAGTTTTGTCATCACAGCACCCGTTCTTGATTGTTTCAGCAAGTAGGGCATTCCTCCCACATCAAACAGACGACTGGAAAACAGGCGTTAACCCCAGTTCGATCTGCTCAAAACTGGAGAAGCGGAATACGAAGGTGTTCATGATCATTAGTCGTCTTAGTCCCGTCCCGAACGTACCAAAACAGTATTCAGAAATTATTATTCAGTTTTACTTTACACTAATTGTTATTGCAACCAATACAGATGCACAAACCCACTTGACATATATAATCTCCATGTTGAAGAAGAGGCATTGGAAACCTAGTGGTGAAAGTGTTTGCTCAGCACGCCGTAGGACTGGGTTCGAGTCCCCGAATATGTACAATGTGTGAAGCCCATTGGTGTTTCTGGTAATACTGATGGAAATGTACCCAGTCAGACTGGTGGGTGAGTGAATAGTTCTGCAGTGAAGTGAGTGAGTGGGTTGGGTTTGACGCTGCTGTGAACCTACTCAGTTACGACATCGCGTCTCTGCTTGATGTGGAGGAATGTTCACGCAGGTCAGGGAGTGAATGGGTGAGTGAGTATGGTTTAACGCCGCTTTTAGCAATATTACAGCATAACCACAGCTGGGGACACCAGAAATGGGCTTCACACATTGTACCCATGTGGGAAATCGAACCCGGGCCTTCGGCGTGACGAGCGAACACTTTAACTACTGGGTTGTGTTCTGGTTCAACAGTATTTCAATATATTTCAGTAACATCATAGCGAGTCTGCTTTGACAGACAGTCATGTTACTAGGGCTTCCACGGGTACTCGAGTACTCGAGGGCGAGTCGGGTCTAGCTGGACTCGAGTCCATTTTCAAGGACTCGAGGACTCGAAAAGGGAAGATAACTCGGATTATTTGACGTTGACAGACTGTCTGCCATGTGCTAAGCATGAGCGGCCGTTAACGTCTAATATTAAGATAAGATATAACTTTATTATCCCGGAGGAAATTCTTATACATCCAAACTGTCTCAAAATGAATATATACACAGTTCGCAAAAATATACACAATAATTACATGCTCAAAACGAATGCTATTTATAAATAAAACTGACATGATATAATTCAATTAACCACAGAGGTAAAGAGGCTGAATAATTCTAGTTCTAATCACATGATGGTGATTCAAAATATTTGTTGCATTCACGAATACTTGATGGTATGAAAGACTGTCTAGCTCTGTTTGTTTTGAGGGAAGGTAATCGTCAGCAGCGTCCAGAAGGAAGTAGTTCAAAATGGTGAGATCAAATATATCAACTATCAAATCTAATTTTAGCTCCCTTTTTGACTATCTGGCGCTCATAGATAAAGGGAGTATACTCGAAAGACACTCCAGAAATTTTGCAAGCAGTATTAACAATTTTGAAAAGTTTGTTTTTGTTGCGATGAGACACATCCCCATACCAACATAGAAAATTGTAGGTCATGTGGATCTCCAGTAGAGGTTGAGAGCAAAGAAGATTGATAGCCATTGACACTGACATACTAAGTTCTATGTACCCTGAATTCTTTAACCCATCTGATAATGTTTTCATTAACACCTAGATTAAATAGTTTACTCCTCACACGGTGTGGCTGTATGGTATTAGTTGTTACAAGTCTGCAGATGAGAGTAAATATTATACATCGTGTTAGATTTCACTTCTTAAAATGATTAGGTAACTATCTTGACAATTGATAGACATGGAGAAAGATAAAAAATCAAATGTATGGGCGTATCTTGATCTGGATAGTGAAAAGAGCAAAATAACCAAATGCCGCCTGTGCGGTATCTCACTGCGTTTTGCAGGCAGTACAAGAAGTACGAAGAAAAAAAACCGTTTGTCAGGTAAACATCCAAATACTGATTCTGACCAATAGGAAATGTTAGTCACATGACGATATGAAGTCGGAAAGAAGTAAGTGTTCACTTGTGTGATCGGAACACATGTCATGCAGGTTACGCTATCGTTTGCTTGAAAGGTATGAATTTCGAGTACTCGGGTCCGAGTCGAGTCTCACCCCTCGAGTACTCGAGTCCAAAAAAATGGACTCGTTGAAGCCCTACATGTTACACTGTAAAATATTGTATGTTTGTATATGTTCAGTACGTTTAAAACCCTGTTCCTCCTGTGGCTGTTTGGCTCTTTAGCTGTTACGATGTGTTTTGGCTACTTGGCTGTTCTCTGGCTATGGCTATTTGGCTGTTCTCATATGGATATTTGGTTCTTACATAGACAAATTTTAGTGTTTTGACTATGACAGAGTTCTGGCCGTTCTGACAAGAATATTTGACGATGATTTAACTATAATACATTGGTTGTTTTACATAAATGATGTGTCTGTTTTCACAAAAAGGAGTTTGTTTTCACAGGCCAGTTAGAGTTAGTTGATTACATGTATGTTTTAGCATTTTGACCCGTGACTGCTGAACGTAATATGGACATGTATGTTTTAGCATGGCATTATGGCGGCGGTCTGGGGCTTCAGTCAACCTTGCTGAACTGATGCATGTAACGTTACGACCAATATCCACGTATATTCTCATCCGATCATTCAATACGGGTTAGGTTCTTACAATACGCGGGTCAGAAGCACGACGATGGCGTTGAGATCCCGGATTTGGGGAGATGGCGTTGTTGTGGGAGGACCACGTGTCTCCTTGGAAACGGTAAGTGGTGGTGATGTTGTTGGGAAGGGAACCACGCATGCGTACTTGCTCCTCAGTTCGAAGCTCTGTACGAATTGTAAGAAACGCCATTGTGAGTAAAACATGTTTATGTTCATAAGTTAAACATTTCAGCTTTACACACAACAGATCACGAGTGTAGCCATGTGGTCAAGATGCATCCGTTATACCCTTGAAGCTATGATCTTGAGTTCGAATCTCAGTTTGCCCAAATTATGTTTCTGAATACCCGTTGGTTTCACTTCTGGCTGCTATGGTGGTTAATTGGGTCGGGGCATTTCATCATAATGATTGGTTGGTTGGTTTGTTGTTTAACACCGCACTCAGCGATATTCCAGCTATACGGCGGCGGTCTGTAAATAATCGAGTCTGGACCAGACAATCCAGTGATCAACAGCATGAACATCGATCAACGCAATTGGGATACGATGACACGTGTCAACCAAGTCAGCAAGCCTGACCACCATCCCGCGTCTAACGATAAGCATGGGTTGCTGAAGACCAATTCTAACCGGGATCTTCACGGGTCTTCATCATAATGAGATGTAGATATACTACACTGGATGACCGAGGATGGTGCACGTGACACGTACTGTCCCCGTGACACTCACGTAAAGCGGCAGCGTTGACTTGTGTTGTTCTTGTACCGTCAGCTCTCCCTCCGTCGTCGCGTCACACACCAGCCGGATCACCGTCAGTCTGCGGGGAGACACACGTGGTATCATGTAGCCATAGCAACATCATGGCAACATTTCTGCAGGAAACACCAGGGGCGGATACAGCTTTTTGAGAAAGAAGGGTGCACACCTTTGAGAAAGTGAGGGGGCACACTTCATTTTCACCCGTTATCACGAGAGTTTCAATGGTCATTTAATAAACTCGGGAAAAAGGAGGTATGCGCACCCCTTCACGCACGCACGCACGCACGCGCATACACACACACACACACACACACACACACACTTCCCAATGGACCAACAGTGTGACAGTCAGTGGAGGCTTCGTTTAACCGGATAATTGTGTTTCAGATTATCAACTTAACAACTCACTGGTACAGAGTTATGCCCCTTTATCAATATCATTGCGTTAATAGCGGACACTGCCCAACACTCAGGTAGAGAAACTCACCTGGTTACGTTCAAGTATCGGTGAACATACTGCATGCTGAGAGTATCCGTGTCATCGTACTCAAACTGGACCTCAGCCTGTGACCCAAGACTGAAGTATATAGGGCCTGTCGCACCGCTGAAGTACCCCTGGCAAATCTGAAACGTAATACCACTCACTGAATACATGCAACCAGAATATCATGTATGGCATTGCTCAGTTTGAAACTTTCACTGTAAAACAATCTCTTAGACCACGTGTTGCACTGTCTGTATTTCATAAGAAATATATATTTGGAATTAATCTCACGTCCTCAAATGAGAAATGTAATGTTTGACATCTTTGTTTAACATTATATTCAGAGGGGATGATGTGCCGGAAATCTTGAATACTGTTCACGATAAAGAACCTGTAATAGCGTGTGAGAGATAAGTCTGCGTGAGGGCTCTTAACGCCGCCATTGGCCAGCCTTCTGTTGACTGACGGCGGCTGGTAAAGGTCGAGGTCAGGTGAACCAGTGGTCGACTGCATGAACATGACGTGAGGGCCCATATGCACAAAGCTGTCTTGGCGCTACGTAAATCTATGTTACGCTGTCGCAGCTACGAGTGGGCCCTGGGCACGATGACGCGCAGTAAGCTATGTGTAACCAGACATTGTAGCTAGCAGTCGGATGTCACCCCTAGTTAAACACTATATCAGTTATACTATTGTCTCTGTCACCAGGTCTGAAGTTAAAGCAGGTCTTCTCCACTTTGGACTGAGTGAGTGAGTATGATTTTACGCGGCTGTTAGCAATTTTTCTGCAATAACACGCCCGGGGACACCAGAAATGGGCATCACACATTGTACCCATTGGGGAATCGAACCCGGGTCTTCAGCATGACGAGCGGACGCTTTAACCACTAGGCTATCCCACCATCCGCCCTCCACTTTGGAATACCCACTAGCAGGAGTATGGTGCTCACATACCATGATCAGAGCGAATTTTAGACGGGAACCCAGATCATGACATGCCCATGGGACGTCACTCTACACACAGGCTACTGCAGGCTTTCAGTGCCCCGGCTTAGAAGAAAGGTATGAGTGTGTTTTGCCAACTATGAGTTTCTAGACTGACTGACTGACTGAGTTTAGTTTTACGCCGCTTTTAGCAATATTCCAGCAATATCACGGCGGGGACACCAGAAATGGGCTTAACACATTGTGCCCATGTGGGGAATCGAACCCGGGTCTTCGGCGTGACGAGCCAACGCTTTAACCACTAGGCTACCCCACCGCCCCTGAGTTTCTAGAGCTGCCTCACAGCGACGCTGGCACAGACGAAGCTGGTGTTGGGAAGAGAGAAGTCCGAACATGGATTCCAGGAATAGTAGAAGGGGTCGTCAGTCGCCGACATGTTGAAGAACCTGCAGTAAACGTTGACATCGCCAGCATGAACGTCTCAATAGCATAACAGTATATGAAATAAGCCAAAACTCCAGCCAGACATCTTTTGTTACCAGCCCTGATGTCTGGCTGGATTTTGGCTTTAACCAGACCAAATATGCTCAGATGTATGGAACATCTAAAAATTTTACCAGACCATCGGGGTGGCTAGCTGTAAATTTAGACCGTCCGTCAGAAATCTAGACCGTTCGGGTGGTCGGACGTGCCTTATTTCATACACTTATCATAAACATGTTATATAATGTATCAATAAACAATACATAACCGTAAAGAGTCAGATTCTACCATCCGTCAATACATGTGTCCTTATTTGCATAAGATTCAAATGTTACATAAACACTTGATGTTTTTCAATGACGTGAGTGAAAAACAGATTTGTACAGATATTTTATTCTTATTTCGACGAAAAGTCCCTTTTACCGAGGTTTATCGATTTGACTATCCAGTGCACCGAGGTCTATTTTCCCATCTAACGTCTCGCACGTGCAAGCACCTGTTTTCATGCACACTCTGCCGTCACTGTGAGCACTTGGAACGGCCAGCAACATCAACGGGAGGGTCAGTCCATGTACAGTCATTTTGTTGTTGTGGATACTGTTCGATCCTGAAATATACATCTTTGTTTAATACGCTGTAGGTACTAGTAAGCTCTATACAGTTACGGTATTATATTAATATTCAACTATCGCTCACAACAGGTGCGTTCAACCACAAGTGATATATTATATTATTACAGGACTAATTAAGTTGTAAACAGCTGCGTTAATCCGAACGATTGAAGTTGACCGCGCTGCCGACTGGCCCGCCCAAAGTGACACGTGGTTTGTTTAGCGACTTAGCGATTCATCCCTTTGATCCCTTTATTATTCGGACATTTAAAGCTTATTACAAGCGATCGTTAGTGAGACATTTCATCGCATGTGCAGAAGACGACAAACCTCAGTGCATAAACTTACGAGAAGCCTTGCGATTCGTGAAATCTGCATGGGCAGATGTTTCTTGTCAGACGATCAAGAACTGTTTCAAGCATGTCGAAATTCTGCCAAGTCAAGAATCCCAGATTGATGAAACTGGTGATCTCGAAGATGATATCGTGCTTGCCGACTTGAAAAGGCTACTTCAACGCCTCCCGTCTGATGATGAAAACATGTCGCCTGATGATTTCATCGATGCCGATGCCAACGAAGAAACGTGTGATTCACTGACTTCAGAAAACATCATAGAGATGGTGACAGCTGCAGATGATCAGTTGGAAAGTGAAGAAGAGGAAGCAGAAGACACTGTCACCATTCCGTCTTTAACAGACATGAGACTGTACCTCGGCAACATCATTACGTACTACGAGTGCCAGGGTGACATCGAAAATGCAGATAAAGCAATGGACATGCTCAATTCTTTAAAACAACCTTTGACGCAGCCCACCATTAAAGACTACTTTCGTAAGTAAAATGTGTGAGTGAAACAATGTGTAATAAATCCAGTGATTGTCTTTGATGTTTTGTTTTGATTTCTTTGATATCAAGGGGAAGTAACTCGGTGCATATACTGTGGTTTCAGCAGTACGAACGTTTCACTATCCGAACGTTTTTTTACAGAAACCGAAGTGTTCGTATTAACGAGGCCTGACTGTAATATTGGTTTTTATATAGCGCTATAGTCCTTCCCATCTACATGCATGTTCAAAACGTTTTGTTTTTCCATCAATCATTGGATGCCAATCTCATCAGCACATTACAGTCGTGCAAGTTATTGTGGCTTTCCCATCCTAACGAGGTACCCATTAACAGCTGGGTGGACTGGGACACTTAGTCACAGTACTTTGTCCATTTTTCACTTTCCAGTATTTATAGGAAACTTAAGTCGGTTGGTGCTGTCCCTTCATTATATGTCTTTTCAATTACTGTTTTACGTTCCAAAAGTTTCATTCAATTATTGCGTTACATTTTCCAAAAATTCATTCGGTTATTTCCCTAACACACCCAGTAAGTTCATTCAGCTATTTCATATCTTTCCCAATGAGTTAATTTAATAATTCGTAACTAGTGCAATACGTTCATTCAGCTGTGTCATAAATTTACTCATAATTTAATTTTAATTTTAATTTTCTCATTTACGTTTATTCAATTATTTCATTACTTTCACAATAATACATGGGTACCATGTGTGACGCGCATTTCTGGTGTTCCCTGCCGTGATATTACTGGAATATTGCTAAAAGCGGCGTAAAACGATAATCACTCACTCACTCATTTTCCCAATACGTTCATTCAGCTTTCCCAGTACGTTAATTTAACAATTTTAAACTTTCTCAATACGTGAATTGAACCATTCCCAGTTAGTTTCCATTCATCTTAACGTGTCCAAATACCCGTGAAGATCCGGGTTAGAATTGATCTTCAGTAAACCATGCTTGTCGTAAGAGGCGACTAACGGGATCGAGTGTTCAGGCTCGCTGACTGGGTTGACACATGTCATCGTATCCGTGTTGAGTAAATCGATGCTCATGCTGTTGATCACCGAATTGTCTGATCCAGTCTCGATTATTTACAGACCGCCGCCATATAGCTGGAATATTGCTGAGTGTGGCGTAAAACCAAACTCACTCACTCACTCACACAGTGACTCACTCCTGACGTGTCCAACATGTCTAGATAAAGGTCCCATGTCTGATTCTACAGACACACAAAACTGTAAAAAAGTGGCGAGCATATGTTTTGTTAAGTCTAAAAGGTTAAAACCAGCAACACTTTATAGAACTAACAGATTCTAAAAATGTCCCATATTTACTCCCCCACAACTATTAATTCTTAATCTTTCGCACCCTAATTTGCCCATGTAAACCGGCTGGTGGCACTGGTTATTGAGAGAAGACCGTATCTGAACACTATTCAACTCACCTACTGCAGATGACGAGTTTAACTGTCTTTTCAGGTGTAAAGTTCTTCTCCAACAACGACTTCTCTATATCTCAAATAATTGTTATTTGTGGTATAATTTGAATCCACAGATAAGTTACGTGAAACATTATAACCTAAAATATATCCGATTTGAAACATATATCCAGAATCACTGCACCTTTATAT